CTTTTTTTGCCCCATTTCACCTGAGATAGAACAGAATTTCTGGATCAGTAGAAACTTGTCAGGGACCATGATATGTGCTGCCCCTTTCTTAAGAATTTTCTCCCTCAGCCAGGTGTGGTGGCGCATACCTATAATCCCAGCACTTGGGGAAGCTGAGGATTCAAGGCAAGAGTGAGTTCGTGGCTAGCCTCAACTATGTAGTGGAAACGTCTCAAAAAGACAAAAACAAGCAAACAAGCCACCTTTAGAGAGTGAGTGTGGTCAGATAAGTCTTTAAAACTGATGTTAGGAGTCTTTAAAACCGCAGACTAGGCTGCATAGTAACAAAGCCCAGTACCACTTCAGGACTAAACGTCACACCTCTGGTGCTGAGAACAATGCAGTTTCTCCTGTGACTCTCTCGGGTGCCAAGAACCTGGACGTTCCGGGACTCTGCTCCAAAACAGTCCCAGGCTAGTGGGAGGTGGGCTATTTGCCAAAACCAAACTTTAGCTGCTGTGGAAATTGAGTCTGGACAACAGTTGAATGATCCACACTCACATGGCCCAATTTACTCTGTATTGTGTGTAGCACTTTTAAAAGAGATAATAACTGAGTAATCTGTGGGTTTGTTTTGGTTTTGATAGGGAAGGGGTAATGGGAAGAAGAGACTATCGTAGAAGAGTATCCTATGTAACACTTATTCATATCACTTCAATTTGACAGCTGCCATTATTTGTAATGTATGTATTTCCTTGTTATGGCATTGTCTGCAATTGAGAATGAATTAATAAGCAGCATTCCCAGTTTGTTATGCTCTTGATGGGATCTCATTCTTTGGGGCCGAGTTAATCAGCCCTCAAATAACTACCTGCCACTTTGTGCCACTTTCTGTAGGCCACCTGTAGTAATTCATTTATATCCACACACCCACATATACACAGACCCCTAGGGAAAACTACTATGCTAGATTGTTTCATCTCACAAATGGGACTTTACTAAAGCAATTTAACAGTAAACCCACTTTCCTCATTTTTAGAGAAATCTTTTGAGTATTGGCTGATTAAGATCCCTAGCACTACAAAATAAAAACCAAAATTTGCCAAAATGAAAATTTTTATTGACACAATTTATTTGATGACTAAATGTTTTTAAATCCTAAAGTTGTATAACACCAAATTTAACCAATGAGAGCTTTTCAATCCTGAAAGAGAATATTTTGAAAACTAGCCCCCTGTAACATGATCATTTACTACTTTGACAGTGTCGTTGAAAGTACAAAATTGAAATACAGAGCCTTAAAATATGATTTTTATTAGAAAAAAAAAAGACATTTGAAGTCTTGTACCAAGCCAAGTGCACCTGCCTGTAATCCCAGCATTTGGGAGGCTGAGGCAGGAGGGTCACTGTGAGTTCAAGGCCAGCCTGGACTACACAGAGAGACCCTGTCTCAAAATAAAGCCCTCAAGTACACACACACACACACACACACACACACACACACACACACAGTAATATGCTCTTAAGCAATTTTTAAATTGTAGTCATACATAAAAATGAAATCACCTCTCAATCTTAGCTGATAGAATTAGACTTTGAGAAATTTAGATTTTAAATTTGAAAGTTCTAGGGCAATCAAAATCTTTCAGCTTTTACCCTTTTTATTACTACTACTTTAGCCTATTTTATTTTCTACATCAAAGGCTAATGGATACATGACTATAACAGATTGTCTGGAAAACCAAGCTCAAAATAGGAAGGAAATTAAGTGACAGAAAGCCAGTGGCAGGATAGTTTTATTATGGGGTGGGGTGGGAGTAATTTATAACATATAATTCACCCATTTAAGCTGTACAATTTAGTATTTTTCAGTACATACAGAGTTGGGTTTCTTATGCATACTTGAGACATTCTCGTTTCTTAGGTTTTGAAATTTCAGAGTTTATTTGTAAAAATCATTTTATGATGGGTAATGTCAAATAAATACAGAAGTAGAAGATTGAAGCCCAAGTTCGTTTTCCCCACCTGACCAGTCTTCTTTCATCATTTCCCTAGCCTCTTTCCTCAGGGTTATTTTGAAGCAAAATCCAGACATCAAATTATTTCTTACATAAACGGTTTAGACTGTCTCTATATGTTTTAAAAAAATATTACGGGCTGGGAATATAGCCTAGTGGTACTGCACCTGGCAAGTGTGAGGTCATGAGTTTAAATTTCCAGTGCAAAAACAATTGATTACATTAATGTTCACATCAAAATAATTACAAATAGGCATGTAGCTCAGTGGTGAAACATTAGTTCAACATGCAGGAAACCCAGGATTTGGTCGCCAGCTCCCTACAAATAAGTAATACTTTAATACTAAAATAACTAGTGTTCAAATTTGTAACAGTTTCTATACTTGTAGATAAGAGTTTTTATTAACTTGCAACTTAAGAGAAAAGTTGGAAATTATGCTAAATAATTTTTATGCTAAATAATTTTTATGCCAATTTGTATATTTTACTACCTGCCTCAAATAAATTTGTATCACAGAGTAAAATCTAAGAGATTCCAAAATACACTTTATTTCCTATCTTCCTGGACAGAACATATCTGGTCTCTCTTGGCAAAATGAACATAGCTCTGCTTGACTCATGTTAGGAGACTTCTTCATATTTTCTCATGACATCTTACTGGCTTGAGGCTTCCTGGTTGTACTCTTGTCCGCAGGCCTTAGGGAGCCTGGGCATTCTGTACTGAGGAAACAGAACTCAGGGCTGCATATTGCAGAAGTCCATCTTGCCTTTGCAATGGTGCTCTTATGATATGTTATGCATTTATTTTGGGTGAAAGGGGTGGGCAGGAGTGAAGAAATAACCAATGGAACTGAATTTGCTTCTAGTGCCAATGTATTGAAGAGTGGCCTTGTAACTGACTATAATAAGCAAGTTTGTAATTTGGGGTTAAAATGATTGGCTTTTGAGAGCACCATTAGACAAGGAAAGGGACTTCTGTTAGCTAAATAACCCATTAACTGTATCTCCCTAAGAAGATACAGTTAGAGCAATAACAGCCTAGGAATAACCATAGTCATTTAGAATTTGGTGCAGGTCAAATCCCATTACATATTTCAATAAGATATCTAAATTCCTTATTTGTTTTAAAGATTTTGGTACAAAATACTGATATGTAATATGTCAGATTACAGAGCTATTTTTGTCCTTCACTTTCCTTGTGGGGGAAGCACAAAGACTTTTTAGCCCCATTCAGGGTCCTAATTAACACTGTAGACAGTTTTCTACTGCTGGAAACAAATGTGAATTTGCCCCAGGCCGCCATCATACTAGGCTGCTCCCTGGGCCTATTTGCTTTGTGCTTCACAGTGCTGCAGTTGTTTACCAAATAAGCGGCAGGATTTGCTGGGTCTCTGCTGTCAGAGTAAGCGCAGCAGAAGAAGCTCCTGCTCAGTGACTGCGGAGGCATAAGTCTGAGATACATTTGCTCATGAGAGAGCTTTGAAGTTAAGGGAATGACGAACCTTTATCCAAATGCCTCAGTTCTCCCTAGGGTTTATTATAGCATACATCAGCAAGAATCTAGCATATTTTTGTAGTATTTTGATTTTTATAGCTTTCATTGTAATGGGATTTAACCTGTAACATCTTTTCACCAGAAAAATGCAGATTACAAAAATGAAAATATCATGTATCCCTATTTGTACTTTCTATACTTTGTACCAAATGCACTTAACTATATGTTACAGATATTATTGACTGCGTGTCTGTGGAAATATTAGAAACCTTTTGCAGATAGCTTTATGAATATGGATATTTGTTTATAGAGTATGACAAACAGTTACTGTTAATACAAAACATGCATTAAAATGTCTGGAATGTTATTTTGGTGTATGATGGATGAGAGTGGTTGCCTGAAATCACGAGGATTTTTGAATGCCGCTAGAGTAGCTGGTGTTGCTTAACATGGCATTTTTTCCCCTGTCCACACTTTCCACCCTTGGTACAGGTATTTTTGATAAGCTGTGGAATGGAAAGGTATGTTTTTCATGGGATGTTCGAGAATATCTTACCTTAAATTCCTTTAAAATGGTTTCCTTTATGGGATTCCTCTTGGGTCTGGCTTAAACAGACTTAGTTTACTTGTAACAAACAGCATTTTTAGAAGCAATAGTTGAGTATAAAATTTGACATGACCCTTAAGTGTCTGACTTAACTTTTCCCCATTCCTTTATTAAAAATAGTATGAGAGTTTTAAAGTACTTGGGGTGGGGGGTTGCTTTGGAAATACATGATCTGTGCTATGAAGAAAGAATGTAGGCCAAGAGTTGTTTGTGGTAGTTGGTGATCTAGTATGTTGTTATTGTTACAGTGCTGGTTGCCATTAATTTGCAATTTCATTGAGGAAAGTGATATAAAAGTAACCCTTAATATATTCATATATAAGATAAGTTTAGGAACTTTATTAAAATCACATGGTTCTCTTTTTGCTGGAGGACAAATTCAGATTGGACTATGGCCAACTGAACTAGAAGGGTTAGAGAAGTGGCAGATACCCAGAGCCTGTGCCGGCTTCCTGCCACATGCACCATGCCACATGCTTTCTCCTCTGTGGCCATCCATGGGCATGTTGATGCTCCTGTCCTGAAAGAACCATGTAGCTAAATTCATGAGAGCCTCAGCCTATGCTTATCCTTAGAAGGCCCAATTGGAGGCCTGCACCCTGTGACTTTCCTAACAATGAAATTGTGAAAGGTACATGGGGACAGCTGTGAGACATGCAGCTATTTGGTCTCAACGGCACATCCCTTTTCTTGTAAAGAGATGAAGCACTTTCTGAGGCATTGGTACTAGTGCTGGAGGCTGCTGGTGCCTTTAGACTATGCTGGTCACATGGTGGGCTGGGAAGCCCTTGTTAAAAATCTGTGGTGTTCTGTAAACCCTGACTGTTCTGGTGGTTGCAAAGTTAGTGTCTATTCTTTGTTCTCCATCTCACCAGAAGTGTTTGGTTTTTCTCATTCATAGAGGTCCTGTAATAAGGAGGGATCCGAACAAGCTCAGAAAGAAAATGAATTTCAAGTAAGTAATTCAGTCTGTTCTACACCTGCATGAGCTGTAAACTGGTGTGAGCCAGCCTCACCACACTGCAGTTTGGCAATGCTTCTTGTCTTTCTTAGAGGAGCTGTTTCACTAAGATGTTCCGACTGCCCCATCTCTGCCAGCCACTTCTTTCTATTCCTCATCTGTTGTCCACTGCCCTGGCTGTGCCCTCGACATTTATCCCCAGAAAGTGTGCCCATGCGCTGTAGTAGTCTACTACCTGTTGACCTCCAGCCCACTTTGGCACATTTGCAGCTGCCACTTGCTGGCTGTCATTGAGGGCTCCATTCTAGGCCCTGCCACCCTCTCACTGTCCAACAAAAGCAACGAGAGCAAAAAGAGAGGAGCTGAGCCTCTTTCCCTTCCTTACACTGTATTAAGGGTACTCATCCTAGGCAGGCGTAGCACTCACACCCCCAACCCCAGTGCTAGATGGTAAACCAGTCACAAACTAAAAAAGGAGTCCATCGCAGTCTGCAACTGCATGAAGATTTGGGGGACATCCAGACACAAACTGTAACATCTTATAAACCCCTACCCCACTGAACCCAGCCACCTCTGGGCTACATGTGTCGCTAGCATTACTCAAAGAGAATTACACAGTTGGGAGGGCAAGTTTCATTTTAGGGTAGGCAGCCTGTTATGGGCATCTGCCACTGCCTAGGCGCGTTCTTGCGCATGCTCATTTCCTGCTGCTAGAAGTCTGTTTCAGGCTTCTGTTTGCTCTTCAGACCTCACTGCCCCTACTCTTGGTTGACAATAGAGTTTAATTCTTTTTTAAAAATGTGATCGTGGGGATAGAAGCCAGGGAGACACACTTGTCAGACACATGCCCTCCTGCCAACCCCAGAGCCACATTCTTTGGTGGCTAGGTGCCTTCTGTCCCTCATTCTCCCTCCCCAGGCCCTCTGTGTCCGTGCTTTCTTTTCCATGGACCCTGTCTTTTTAAGAGGATTCTTCCCTTGCTTGAGTGCCACACTTTGCCTTGCTTTCTTCTTGGAGTCTGACTTTTTGCTTGTCCTCCCCCTTCTCTAGGTGACAAGATGCTGGCCTTATGCACCCTTTACTGCCACCCCATTAGTGCTCCCACTCCAGAAAAAAATGACATAGTCTTTTTTTCTTTTCTTTTCTTTTTTTTTTTTAAACCCGAATTCTTTTTTTTTTTTAAATTATTTATTTATTACATTTTTATTTAGTGTGTGTATGTGTGTGGCCAGCTCAGCCCACCAGGGGGCGGGGCTGGCTGGCATGTGGTGCTGGGGGATCGAACCTCGGTCCCTGTGCTTTGCCAAGCTTGTTCCAAGTAGGTGCCCTAGACCACTGAGCCATCTCTCCAGCCCTGTCTTTTTTTCTTTAAAAATTTATTCTTTCTTGTTTTATTGGCAAGGCTCTTGGGGAGGGTGCTGGACATCAAACCCAGGACTGTCCTGCACACTGAACGTATACTTTACCCCCAGTTCCCATCAAGATTTCTTGAGACAGGATCTACTGTATCTGCTTTCTTCCCAATTTCCTTTTTTGGAAAAAGTTTTAAGAAGAACAAGAAAATGTATTTCTTTCTATTATACAGAATCATTAAGTCAGTTGCTTCATGGGACTTGACTTCAATTTTTTTTTGCGGAACCGGGGATTGAACTCTGGCCCTTGCGCTTACCAGGCAAGTGCTTATTCTACTGAGCCATCTCCCCGGCCCTTTCTTCAATCTTTTTATATGAATTTATTTTTTACTTTATTTCCAACAAATTTTAGACTTATGGAGCAAATTGCAGAATAGTGTGGAGGTGGAGAGTTCCCACACCCCCCTTACCCAGCTCCCCTAATGTTCTTGTTTTATATAACCACAGTGCAGTGACCAGAGTGAGAACACTGACCACTGGTATAATACTGGTAACTAAACCACAGACCTTATTAGTTTTCTTTCCACTGATGTTGTCTTTTGTTCTGTCCCTGGCTTTAACCAGGATCCCAGTGTTGCATGTGGCAGTTTCTTCTTAGTCTTGGGGCCAGGGAGATGGCTCAGTGGAATAAGTGATTCCCTGGCAGGCACAAGGGCCTAAGTTCAATCCCTGGTTCTGAAAGAGGAAAAAAAAAAAAAAAAAAAAAAAACCTTAGTCTTATCCAGCCTAGAATGAGTCTCCTTGTATCCTCTCTTGATACCTGTGAGGAGTGCTGATCAGTTCTTGTGGATCATGGCCCCACAGTTAGCCTGCTGTTTTCTGCTGATTGGAATGAGATTAGGCTCAAATGACAGTCTTCCTGACTCAGCCTCCCAAGATGACAGGTGTGCACTGTCATAGCCAGCTGATACAAACCCATTTAAAGCAGGCTGGTGGCAGACCTGTAATCCCAGCCTTGGGAGACTGAGGTAAGAGAGCTGCAAGTTTGAACCCAGTTTGGGCAATGTAACGACTTAGTGAAACCCTCTCTCAGACAAGGCTGGCCAGATAGCTCAGCAGATTAAAATGCCTACTTAGGCAGATGCAGGGACCAGGGTTTAATCCCCATGTTGCTGTACTGGCCTTGCTCCTGGGTGCACTGGGTGCACTGAGACTGCATTTGAGACTGGGTGTGGTAGCACGGCTGTAATCCCAGCACTTGGAAGGCTTGAAACAATCGCTATGAGTCTGATCTGTGTAGTGAGACCCTTGCCTGGCAAGCACAAGGACCTGAGTTCAATCACCAGTACCACAAAACAAACAAACAAAACAGGGGTGGGGAGCTGGCTCAGGAGAGTTAAGTGCTTGCCTGTAGAGTGAGACCTTGTAGATCCTGTACTAAAAAAAGGAAACCGTATCTCAAAACTTTTTTGCTCTGAATGCCTTCAGGGCAGGTTTAGCTGGCTTGAGTTGTGGGGATTGAACCACAGCAACCTGAGCCTGACTGCTTTGTTGAAGCAGCCACTTAAAGAACTGAGCTAAGGGGCAGGCCCCCCCATCTCAAAACTTTAAAAAAAAATATTTTAAAGAGCTGGGAATGTAGCTCAATGTGAAGATTGGGTTCAAACTCCAGTACTGCCCCTGCCAAAGTCATTTTAGTTCCTTGCTTTTATCCTCTGTTTAGTTCCATCCACTTCTTTTGTCTGCCTTTCACTTCCCATTTGACACCTGTCCCTATCATGTCTCCAATTGTTCTTGTTTAGTCACAAACAGTTTCCATATTGTCAGATCTAGTGGCCTCTTTCTTTTCCTCTTGTTGGGCCCTGGGCAGTGTCTGACACCTAATGCCTTAAGATGGCAGGTGTCTTACCCCCCTTTGTCTCTGCATCCTCTTTCTGCTGCCCACATTAAAGTCAGTGGTTCATCTGGTGGGTCGTAAATCTTCAGTGGAGTATGACAGTTTTGTTCCTTTGTTATTGTTCTTTGAGATAGGCTCTTACTGTTTAGTCTAGGCTAAGCTTGAACTTGGTATCCTCCTGCCTCAGCCTCCTGAGCAGCTGAGACTACAGGTGTTGATATTTTAAATGCAATACAATAGAAAGTAGTAGGAACTGGATGTGGTGATACACACTTGTGATCCTGGCATTCTGGGATCTAAGGCAGGAGGATTGAAAGTTCAAGTCCAGCCTGGGTGACTTAGCAAGATGGTGTCTCAAATGAAAAATTAAATTTAAAAAGAACTGGGGATGTAGCTTAGTTGGAAGGCCATGGGCTAAATCTCCTGTATAACACATAAACAAAAACATTAGGAAGCTTGCCTGCTCATAAGGATAAGTATTACTGTGTATAACATCTTGCGTATGTGCGGATGGGTTGCTGTATAACAAAGGCCTTTCTTATGATGACAAGTCAGTTTGACAGTGGCTGCTCTGGATATTGGGCATTTTTAGGCCCAGTGCTGGCTCCTCATCTTCTGATACTGGGAGAGCTTGCCACATGCAGGCTTTTAAACACACTCAACATTTTGAAGACTTTGAGGGTCAGTGAGATAGCACAGCAGACTAAATGCCAGCTTAGGCAAGCGCAGTGACCAGGGTTTGATGCCTGCACTACAGGCCATGCTGGTGCTGGCACCACCCCCTGGCCTGCGGAGCCTGCCACCAATACCAGGCGTGGTGGTGCACGCCCACGCCTGTAATCCCAGCTCGGGAGGCTGAAAACAGGAGGATCACTATGAGTCCAAGCTGCATAGAGAGACTGTGTACCAAATACTTAAAAAAAAAAAAAAAAAAAAAAAAAAAAAGGACTTTGGAGTTTCTTTATGCAGACCTTTCCCTAGAACCCAGTTTCTTCTCCAGGCCGCTCCTGTCCTCTTCCCCTGCTTTCCCTATTCCAGCTGCACCACCCTTTCCTACTCCTTGAATACACTTTCTCCTGGGGCTGCTCACTGCTCCTGGTCACCCTTGGGCTTAGGCCATAGCTGTCCCACCATACTCTATTGTTCCACTTTTCTGTCCTGCCATGACAGTGACACTGTAGTTGCATTCATTCATTTATTGTCTGTTTCTCCCAGATAGTCAGGCTCTTGTGTTTTGGTTCCCTGATGCTTGGCAAGGTGCTAGATACATAGTAGAAGCTAAAGTAGATCCTTGAGGTATTGCGCTTTTCTGAAGAAGTGGGACCAGCTCTTGCTGCATGGCCTTCAGCTGACCCAGGCATGGTGTGAAGGTGTAGACTGCGCTGTGTCTGTACAGCTCCCTCTTGGCCTTGTTCACCTGCTTTCAGTAGGGAGTGGGAAGGGCTTTGTAGACTCAGTGACCACAAGGAAACCATCAGGCATTGGTCATCCTTCCTAACCTGAATTGCTTGTACCTTTGGTATTCTCATTCATTTCTAACTCTCCAGATTCTACCCTCTGTACACCATCCCTTTTTCTTCCTAAATATTGTGTCTCTTTTTTTCTTCTTCTTTTCACAGTACTGGGGATCAAACTCAGGACCTTGCACTTATACCACTGAGCTGTCTCCCCAGCCCTCTTCCTAAATATTGAACTACAGTGTTGCATAAGAAGAAAATTTTGTTTACACAGTTCAAAGCAGTGAGAAGAGAGTTGGAAGGTTAAGTCTCTGCACCTTCTTGGCACTGTTTCTGGGTATGAACTGGCTTTGCTCTGGAGAGGAGTCTGGACAATTTATTGATCCAAGTCCCCAAGGTGTTGCCATATATAAATAAGTCAATTCCAGGAATTCTCCATTCTTTTTTTTTTTTTTTAAAGACAGTCTCAGGCTGGCCTTTCGAACTTGGGGCAATCCACCTGCCTCAACCTTCTGAATGCTGGGATTACAGGGGTGCGTTACTATGCCTGGTTAGGAATCCTCTGTAGGGTAGATGCAATGTACAAAATGCTGAACCTATTGAAGTCATAAAGCAGGGCTTAATCTTATATATAAAACTTGAAATTTCAAGCGTTAGAAGGTATTTTAGGTTAGATATATGTGTGTATTGTACACAGTGTCCTCCTTAGTGCTCTTCGTCTTTTATCATTCTGTCACATAGAAAGCTGGGAAATTTGCTGGAATTCTTACAAAACTCTGGATACCTAGATGAAATAAATGCAAAGTCTACCCTTTGGAAGTGGTGGGAAAGTGAGTTAGTATTTTGTCATCTACACATAGTAAAGGGCTGTGCAGAGACAATGAGCACCTGGTCTAAGAGCTGAGGCTACTGTTCTCTTGTCCTGACAGGCTGCTCAGGTCTGTTTTGTTTTTTGGTACTGGGAATCGAATTCAGAGCCTTGCGCTTGCCAGGCAGGCGCTTGTGCTGCTGAGCTGTATTCCTGGCCCAGGCCCCATTACTTTTGCAGTTGATGCGGTTTAGGAAGTGATGTGGTCTCTGGAGTGCTAGATATGCTGCTTTCCAAGGCAGGGCAAGTATGTGGAAGTGGGGGGTACTTCACAAACTTGGTGAGCTTCCCGCAGTTTCCCATGTTGGGCTTGAAGGCAGCTGGGGCCAGCATGGGCAGCGGAACTGTGAGCCCCAAGTGAGTGGTAGGACGCGTTTCACCAACTAAGTGGAATTTTCATTCTTTAAGGGTTTAAAAAATATTAACTGATAAACACTGCTCTAAAATTCATTAACTTAATCGAATCAATGCTATATGTATACTATCAGAAACATATAACTAGCTGGGTATTTTGGTACAAACCTGTAATCCCAGAACTTGGGAGGCTGAGGCAGGAGAATCGGTTTGAGTTTGAGGCTGTCCCGGGCTACATAGTTCAATGTCAGCTTGAACTCCATAGCAAAAACCTATCTCAAAAAACCTAACAGAAAAAGCACATAATTGCAAGTTAGTAGATAAAGATTGAGCCTCAGAAAATATTGGTTGACCATAATTGTGGGGATTACACAGATTATGATTAGGCAGTAATTGGGAGGAATTACTGAAGAATAGATTTGCCCCTACAAAATGTAAAAGAAACTGAATTGCTTTTTATCTTAATGTTATCTGATGTCCCTTAGAAATAGCTTCTTTTTGTTCTTTTTTAAGCCTACCATTCTGTCATTGCCTAATGATTTTTCATAGTTTCTTGGTTGTGTTGTTTTTTTTTTTTTAATTTTCATAATGTGAGTGTTTTAAAAAGTGTGTTTTTTTTTTGTTTGTTTTTTGTTTTTGTACTGTGGATCGAACTCAGGACCTTGCACTTACCAGGCAGTGCTTATGTCACTGAGCTATCTCCCCAGTCCTAAAAAGTGTTCTGATATAGGGCTAGGGATAGCTCAGCAGCTTAAGCACCTGCCTGGCAAGTACATGGCCCTGAGTTCAATCCCCGGTAACTGCCCCCCCCCCAAATAGTGAGTGTTCCCTGGGCCTGAAGTGCTGGCCCTGTCCCTGGGGACATGCTGAAATGGCATTTGAGACTGGGCGTGGTGGCTTGCGTCTGTAATCCCAGCTCTTACGAGGCTGTAAACAGGCAGCTCACTACCTGTTCAGTAGAGAGACCCTGATGAGCACACTGTAGACCCTTCCTTAAAATACAGAGAAAAAAAATGTTCTGGGATCATGTTCCACACAGAACATTTCTTTTTTTGCAGAACCAGGGATTGAACTCAGGCCCTTGCACTTGCCAGACAAGCATTTATTCAACTGAGCTATCTCCCTGGCTCCCCAGAACGTTTCTTAAAGGGTGTATTAGAGTCATCTAAAGCGTTTCTCAGAACACCTCTTGGTGCCTTTTCCACAAAAGCATCAACTTACAATCTTAGGGTCAGGACTAAGGAATATCTTTTGTTTTCAAGAGATTCAGAGATGGGGGCCTGCCCCTTAGCTCAGTTCTTTAAGTGGCTGCTTCAACAAAAGCTGTCAGGCTCAGGTTGCTGTGGTTCGATCCCTACAACTCAAGCCAGCCAAACTTGCCCTGAAGGCATTTGGAGAAAAAAAAAAAAAAAAAAGATTCAGGGCATCTGGTCTGAGAATGGCTTTTTCCATGCTTTCACTCCAACACATGGAAACTCCTAAGCTATAATTTACTCTTTAAGGACAAAAGGCTAAAAAAGGAATTTGAATTGAGACAAAAAGGATGGATTTTGAAGGCTAAGTGATTTAACATCTCCTATTAGTTATCAGGACTAAAGATACAACATAGGTGCTTCATAGAGATTTTAACAGGAATAAAACATTAGAGAGGTAAAGGTTGGAAATAAAAAGTTGAAATTGGAAGTCTGGAAAGAATGCTACATACCAGGAATTTTGGACTGAAAAGCCATAGGCCCCAGACCTAATTCAGTGGTCATACTTACGGGCCCCACAGGCCAACTTTGGATCGCTCACTTTCACCAGTCACTGTCAATGAAAAGGCAAATCAGCTATTCCAGAATGGCAGGGGTTGTACAGGTCTTCGGTAAGTGGCCAGTGTTGAAACTCACATAGGTTGTAAAAGAGTAGTAGTCCAAGCACCAGTAGGTAGTTTTTCTACCTAAAATAAACTTTAATTCTAAATTTTATCTGTATGTATAATGCTTGCAAGCATGGATCCTGCAGATTACAAGATATGGAACTTCTGAGACTCTTCATTTTTACAGTGGGGTGATGACAATGCCTACGTCAAAGAGTATTAGTGAGGACTGGAAGAAGCCGCTTGTGGGAAAGTGCTTCTGATGCCTCAGTAAACTGTGTTCCTTGCCTTCTGTTTTAGGGGGCTGAAGCCATGGTTCTGGAAAGTGTTATGTTTGCCATTCTCGCAGAAAGGTCACTTGGGCCAAAACTCTATGGCATCTTTCCTCAAGGCCGACTGGAGCAGTTCATCCCGGTAAGATGTGTGTATAAACTGTCAGTTAACATGAGCCACAGATAGAAGGTGGGCTTCTTGTCTCATTTTGGCAACTACCTAAGTGCTGTGGTATGGAATAATAAATGTGACGTGCTACTAAACTGGTGGGGAAATAAAGAAAAACCATGTTTTGAATACATACCAGAATCTTTCTCTCCTAGAAAGACAGAGTCATCCATATTAAAAGCATATGTGAAACTTGGCATTCCACTGACCCTGAGCCTTTCTCTTTCATTTTATTGTCCACCTCTGGAGCTTGCTTTATAGAACCTGATGCCAGAGCTTTGCCAGCAAGGGTCCAGTGAACAGACTGTACCTTTAGAGGGCAGAATCATAGCCCATAGGACAGAACCTTTGAGTTCATCAAAATTTACAGACAACTTTCTCATGATTGAAAAGGATTTCTAATGTGGCAGACTGTGATGATGGGGGACAACCGCTTTTTGCACAGATGTGCTGTGTCTAGATCACTGTCGGTGGGAACACAGTGTCAATTTGTAAGGGAACCTGGAGCATTGGTAACTCCTAAATGCCCTACAGAAACTGGCTTCTCATTCTTAGGATGGTATGATCTCAGGCTTGCTAGCTTATCTGATTAAGTGTCCACTTTAAACTTTTTTTAAATTTCAGAGCAGACGATTAGACACTGAAGAATTAAGTTTGCCAGATATTTCTGCAGAAATAGCTGAGAAAATGGCCACATTTCATGGTATGAAAATGCCATTCAATAAGGAACCCAAATGGCTTTTTGGAACAATGGAAAAGTAAGTGGTCAATGTGAGCTGCCCTCAGGGTTGGGGAGGCCCTCTTTTGGTTCACTGGTGTGTGGGCACTGGTTCTGGTGCCTTGTCTCCCAAATGGATCTTTTTTGTGTATATGCATGAAGCAATTGGTTTTTGGACCAGAAAGGAAGCCTTGTTTGCAGAAATGCTGGTGGTGGGTCAGCTTCTTAGAGTGCTGTGGTTCCCAGCTACTTCTCTTCCCTCCTGGGGGCAGGAGCATTCCTGGCCTGTGACTATGCAGGTAGCTGTCAGTTGTCTTAACTGAGGTGAACTGAGTAGTGGTCCTTCACCCTTCTTTGTTTAAACAGATACCTAGATCAAGTGCTAAAAATTAAGTTTACTGAAGAATCCAGAGTTAAACAGCTCCAGAAGTTCCTCAGTTACAACCTGCCTTTAGAACTGGAAAAGCTGAGGTGAGTGTTTGCTTATTTCCTGACTGAGTGGGCACATCTGTCCAGAGGTATAAATATTCTTAGTCATTAAAATTGTCAGTAAAGCGGGCCAGGGAGGTAGCTCAGTAGAATAAGTGCTTGCCTGGTAAGCACAAGGACCTGAGTTCAATACCTGGTTCTGCCAAAAATAAAAAATAAAAGTGAAATTGTCAGTAAATATTGAGTAAGCTCACCCCAAGCCTGGCACCTCATGCTGGATTTGCAGGATGGTTAGTAGGGGGGCTTTGTCATCTCATATATTCCATGTATCTTGTCCAGGAACATTATACGCAGGAGGCAGGCCCTCAGAGGAATGTTCAGTGCATAGAGCAAGACAGTTTGTGGGGAGCACACGCTGGGGAATGAAAACAGACGAGAGATGTGGTTAGACCTAACCTTTGGATGACAACCTCTTTGGAGGCCACTGTGGTGTTCTCAGGGTGTGGGTGGGGCACACACTTAAACTTTTCACCAGAACTTGAGCTTCCTTTGAGTTACTTGTCTGTGTCTGTATCTCCTGTGCTGGGCAGTGTGTTGATGGTGAGGAAAAGTGAGCAGGACATTCTATGAGGACAGAAAACAGATAACAGATTGTGTGGCACATGCTATGAAGGGAACATGGACCAAAGCAGAGCAATAAAGGTGGGCCTGCTTTGCACCCGTGGTCAGAGAAGGGATCCCTGAGGAGGGACCATACAGGATGAGCAAAGTGAGAACCAGGGTGGGTGCTCCGGAGAAGAACAGTGTGTGCAAAGGTCCTGCTGCAGGAAGGACTTACGGTACAGGGAGGTTTGTGTGGGTTTCTGCTGTGAACTGCAGTAGAGCTTTACCACATAATGGCATGGTTTTCAGAATTCACATGAAAGCTACTACACAAGACCATGTGGTGTATTGAAGCACTAATACAGTGCTGGCCATGCTGAGAATGAGGCCCTGCATTGACTTAAAAGTGTGATAGCTACAAGTAAAACCTTGCTTCCTTTTTCAGATTATTGCTTGAATCTACTTTGTCTCCAGTTGTATTTTGTCATAATGACTGTCAAGAAGGTAAGAATTGCCACATACTAAGGATGGGATTCAAGTGTGTGTGGTAGATGCCAGATGACTGTTAAGAGTGTAAGAGTTAGCCACCAAAAGAAAGAGTGTAAGAGTGTTAGATACATTAGATCATGGTGCACCCAGACAGCTGGTGTGTAACTTTTCAAAAGAGAGATACGGGGCAGGCGCAATAGCTCAGCAGACTAAAGCGCCTGCTTGGGCAAGCTTTGGCAGGCAGGGGACTGCCCTGCTATTCCAGCACCGCATGCCGTGTCAGCCCCACCTCCAGGGTGGGCTGAGCCGGCCACAGAGTCTGAGCGTGGTGGCATACCCCTGGAATCCCAGTGCTGGGGAGGCAGAAAACAGGAGGATCACTAAGAGTCCCGAGCTGCATAGTGAGACCCTGTAACAACCAAATATATTAAAAAGAAGGAGGAGGAGGGGGAGGGGGAGGGAGAGAGGGAAGGAAGGAAGAAAGGAAGGAAGGAAAAAAGAGATGAACTGGCTGCTGTGGGGGCATGCCTGTAATCCTAACTACTTGGGTAGCTGATATAGGAGGGTCACAAATTCAAGCCCACCCTGGACAATTTTTTTGAGATGCTGTCTCAAAAAGTGCTGAGAATGTACCTCAGCATTTGAGTGCTTGCCTTACAGTATGCACAAGGCCCTGGTATCACAAGTGGATTTTTAAAAAAGACTGACACATATCAATAGAAAAGTTTCCAGGACATGTTAACAGAAAGAAGCAAGTTTTATTTTTATTTTTATTTTTATTTTTATTTTTATTTTTTTAGAGGCAAGTTTTAGAAAAAAACCTGAGTATCAATTATTTACATGGGGAAATCTGAGATATTCACTAAACCAGGGATTTGGGACAAAGGACTTAAACTTTGTAAGTCTTATGTTGCTAATTGAGTTGAACTCCTTAGAGATGACTGCTTCAAGCAGAAGCAATAAAAGACCAAGGTCACCTCCCTAGTCATGTGAGCGCCCCCCCTTCCCCCCCCCAGCAGCACCAGGGATCTTATCAGCCCACTATCTCTGTTAGTATATGTGTGTACACACGCCATGAATAATTTAGGGTTGCTCTGCTTCAGAAAATTACAACATCGCATTTCCCTTATGGTCACAAAGTGTTACCCAGTGTGATTTCCAATTTGATAGTTTAAGCAGGGGTCCCACCTAATTGTGCAATTCCTGCTAAGGCCACCAACATTGCGTAAGACAGCTGTGGTCCTTTCCCAGGCCCTTCTTGGCTGGGCTCAGCAGTGTGCGTTGTCCATTTAAAAATTAGTGTATATTTGCCAAACATAATGATCACGTTCATCATAGGAAATTTGTATCTTAATTTGTTTTCCCCCATCCCCCTCACCTCCCTTTGAACCTTCATCCCCTCCCCATTTACAAAAGCTTTATTTCCAGTTTTTTCTTCTGTTTTATTTTTTATTATTTTTTATTTTTATTTTTTAAGAAACTGACAAGTTTTTATTTGGGGTGCTTAATATACATTTCTTGGCAAAATTCATGCATTGATTCATCTTCTTTTTTTTTTTTTTTTTTTTTTGCAGAACCGGGGATTGAACTCAGGCCCTTGTGCTTGCCAGGGAAGCACTTACTCTACTGAGCCATCTCCCTGGCCCTTATGCATTGGTTCTTTTTTTTTTTTTTTTTTTTTTTTAATGCATTGGTTCTTATTTTTTTTTTTTCCCCCAGAACCAGGGATTGAACTCAGGCCCTTGCGCTTGCCAGGGACGCACTTATTCTACTGAGCCATCTCCCTGGCCCCTATATTTCTTATTGAAACAGGGTCTTGCTGTATTGTCCTGGCTGGTTTTGAAACCTTTGAGCCCAGGTCATCCTCCTACCTAGCCAGCTAATGTTTAGTTCCAGAATAGTCCCTCATGAAGACTCGTGAATCAGCCCTTGGTTTGAGCCCAACTTCCTTATGCTAGTTAGCTGACTCTTGCTGGTAACTCAAGTGGAGCAGGGTCAGAAATTGTAGCTATGGCTTTGAGCGTTAGCCACACCCTTATGGTAGTGATGGGGTATTAAACAGCATAGGCAGGCCGGGGGAGATGGCTCAGTAAAATAAGCACTTCTATAGCAAGCGCAAGGGTCTGAGTTCAATCCCCAGTTCCACCAAAAAACAAACAAACAAGCCAGAAACCCTGGGAGGGAGGGAGGGAGCCAGACACAGCAGAGGCTCCCCAGTACCCACCAGCCCACCTGAGGTGCTGAGATGCTGTGCCGCATAGTATGTGGGAATCTTAGGAACATGGACATCATAGTGCTGCTGCTGTAGCCTCCTTGGCAGGGAACCCAGGTGAAGCAGAGGAGTGGGGTGCTGTTGTAGCTGAGCTTGACCCTGGCATCCTGAGCGGGGAGGACACCATGACAGCTTCCCACTGGTGTGCCCAGCTAGCCCTGCTAGTGGCTGAATCCCAAGGTGCTGAAGGGAGGGGGCAGATGAGGAAGGATGTGGGGGCCAGGGGAGCTCCAAATCCACAGTGAATTGAGGCTCCCAGGAAGACCAGGGCCATGGGCAGACAGGTCTGGAATCTCCCTGCCAGGCGCCAGCCCATGTAGCACATCCTGTTCTGTGCCAGGGTTATCTGTGGGACTGAAGGTCCCATAGGGCCAGAGGCATTTTCAGCTTTGTTCTCTGAGGACTTAAGCCTTCTGTTGTTAAACTTAAGTCTGGTCATGCTAATTTTTTTTTGCAGGTAATATCCTATTGCTGGAAGGCCGAGAGAATTCTGAAAAACAAAAACTGATGCTGATTGACTTTGAGTACAGCAGTTATAATTACAGGTAATATTTTGCAGCCTAAGGCTAACCTTTCAGTCCTGTTACATTATTCTAATACAGACAAGTCCAGGAGAGAAAAAGTGAAAGAGAAGCACCTGTCCAGAGAAGCCACAGCACAGGCTTCCTTTATTGCTAGCTGGCTGTGTAGTTAGGAGCCGCAGTGTTACTCCTATCCAGTTTTGGCACTTTGTTTGGGCTGCCAAAGTCCTTTTCTTTCCCAGAGTACTGACTGCAAGAGATACTTTGCGATTGAGCGTCATTCAGGTGGCCTCTTTATAGCTTAAGACAACTGTGACTCTGATAATCTCCTGGTTGTGTCTTCTTGGAGCCAAAGCTGCCCTGTCCTGTGCACTCTGGAAGCCCAGTGGGTCCAGCCCGGTCCTTTTCTTCCTGGTCAGGAGCTGGCAGGCCCCCCAGCATGTCTCATGCTCGGTACTGTCTTCTCTCTTTCAGAGGATTCGACATTGGGAATCACTTCTGTGAATGGATGTATGACTATACCTATGAAAAGTACCCCTTTTTCAGAGCAAATAGTCAGAAGTATCCCACCAGAAAACAGCAGGTAGGAGATGAGTTTTTAATAGATTTGATAAGTAAGTTCTATCCACGTATCAATGTTAGAGGCAAAATCACATAGGGTTTTTGTTTTTGTTGATGTTTTTTCAGTACTGAGAATTGAAGCCAGAGCTTTGTGCATGCTAGCCAACCACTTTACCTCTGAGCTATGCCCTTAGCTCTTATATTTTATTTTGAGATAGGGTCTCACTAGGTTGCTCAGGCTAGCCTTAAACTTGGTGATCTTTGCACCTTAGGTAGCATCGCTAAGCTAGATTTTCTTTCTTTCTTTTTTTTTTTTTTTTT